TTTCTGACTTCTCTCAACTCTTATCCGTGGCTGTCGTGCTGTTTCCGTAGACGTCACTCAATCATTTACACTCAATAATCGATGCCGAGCTGCTGCTAAATAAAATCCCATCATTTTCACCCGCTAACCGTGCAGTCGCTCCGTGCGTCTCGTTCTCCACCGCAGTGCATTTTTAGAAGCTGTTGCTGCATCAATCAAGCCTGGAACTTTATTGTTGGGGTACATTATGTCCCAGAGCCCATTACTATCAGCACCCAGCCCCCCTATCCAGCCCCTGATTGCCTCCCTCTTCTTCTTCTTCCTCTCCCTCTCTCTCCCTCTCCCAGTGAGTTGTTGTTAAGCTCAGCCACTAATCGTTCTGGTTGGGACTGTGGTCGACTGCGTTACCGCTGTCCTGCCCTCAAATACACACACGTGCACGCACATGCACGCACGCACACACACACACACACACACACACTGCACTAACACGTATAGAAATCCATGCCATGCTATATGTGTATAATCATGTTTCGTCTGTCATTTGTTGGTAAACCTAATTATAAATGTGTCATGTATCTGTACTTTATGCATGTATCTGTGCGTTCATGCATGTGTGTTACAGCTTGAGTGTGTGTGTGTGTGTGTGTGTGTGTGTGTGTGTGAGAAGCTCCATTCTCAGTTGGGCAAAAACAATGGAACCTCTCTGATTACATCTCCCTGTACAGGCGGACAGGGTGTGTGTGTGTGCATGTGTGTGTGTGTGTGTGTGTGTGAAGCTTCAGGGGGGAGGAAAGGGTGGCGGTTGCGGAGGAGGAAAGAGGGGGAGGCAAAGTTTGGACCTCCCCCCTCCTCCACCCTCCACACCACCACCATCCTCCCTCCTTTGCTATTTCTCGCGCACACACTCGTTCCTTCCCCCTTTGCAGCCGCCCGGCATCTCATTGGTTAAATCCCCGGCCATATATTTACGTGATTGGTCAGGGCGGGGTATATATACACAGCATGGGTCGGTTAAATCTGGCCACAAGTTTCAAAACTTTCAACCAGGACAGACAGGCAGAGAGACAGCGTGTCGGACGGCCTGAGTGACGGAGGGAAGTGGAGCTCTGGACAAACCGCTGCACCGCACACTCCAAACAAGAACTGTTGTGTTTTGAGAACAAAAAAAAAGAAAAAGAGAGAGAGAGTGGACGAAAAGAAAAGAGGCAGAGTCATTGTGGATCGTTTTCAGGGGGAATATCCTGCACCACAACTTGTTTGTTTTCTCTTTTCTTCCTCGTCCTTCCCCCTCTCCTCACATCTCGATGCTTTGCTCTGGGATTTGTGCTCCAAATCCATCAAAGTCTTCTCTCGATCCGTCTCCTCTGTGTCATCTGAAACACTTTGAGTTACAATTTCTGTCCAGAACTTTGCAGCCCGACAGACCGAGACAGACGTTTGCAGAATTTCACTCGGACTAAAAAAAAAAAAAAAGAAAAGTCGACTCCAAGCCCGGTTCTGGAATGAATTTAACTGAGCCCAGCTTGTCCAGAGAGGCTCTTCTGCACCCCAACCGGGTGTCTCTCGGGGCCTGGACGTCGGGGACCCCGAGTCCTGCTTCTGATTCAGAAATGGGTTTTGAGCAGAGCCTCTCCGGAGACTGCAGCTCCCCGGACGGCGTGAGGAGAGCCGAGCCGAGGATTTCCCTGACACCCGGTTCGGGGGGGCAGAGTCCTGACCAGGCGGGAGGTGCGTCGGCAGGTGATGGGAAAGCTGTGGGGGCCGAGCAGAGGATCCGCAGGCCCATGAACGCCTTCATGGTGTGGGCCAAAGATGAGAGGAAGCGTCTGGCCCTGCAGAACCCCGACCTGCACAACGCTGTGCTCAGCAAGATGCTCGGTAAGACAAACAACAGCTTCAGCCTCATCAGAGCAGCAACGCAAAATTTCAAAGCAGTTTATCAAAGTCAAAGTTTATCAGTAGAGAAAAAAGTTTTAGTTAAAAAAATTGTGTAATTAAATATTGAAAAGACTTTTGCTTGGACTGCTGTGTCCCTCTAAATCACTCACACTGTCCCAGTAGCACTAATGACACCAAACAAACCACAAATAGCATCATGTTAGAACCACTGCTTAAAAAAAACAACACTATATATATGTTTTACATTCTTTTACAATATTTTTTAAACAAAACTATTCACTATATGTGCAGCATTTACATTCTGATTGGAGCTTTATTTTGTTTAGACTGAATATTTGCTGCCTCTGCCCATAAACTGCGCAAAAAACTTTTACTTTGAGATTGTTATTTTTAAAAATTGACCCACTTATATCCTCTCACTTTGCTCAATTAATGTTTTGGCATTTTGTATAATTTTATTATCAAGTCCGTTTGATGGTTGGCTTTAAGTTTAGTTTTTATTGAATTCCTGTAGATCATATTCACGCCACGTTTGAGGAATTTATGTGTTCATTCTTTACTGCTGAAGCCTTAAACAGACATGCTGTAATAAATTATGATTGGTTCCACGATAACTGTGTACCATCTAAATTATTCTGTTTGATGAATATATTAATTCTTACCAAGATCTTCGCAGTAAAGCCACTGAAGTGATCCTTTTTTGCACGTGACAATCACTTGGAAAGAGTCATAAGTTTGCAGCGACGGGGTACGTGGGAGGAAAATTCCAAAATGTCCTTAGAAACCTCTTAAACCACCCATAAGTCACTGCTCCCCTGTCCGTCCATGTGCTCATTACGTTCCAAACGCCATAGTTTGTCAAAAATAAGGAATCCACTATAGTTGACAGGAATCCAAGCCGACCACAAGCCCTCCTTCAGTCTCCTCGAGGAGGAAAAAGTGCAAACATTTTATGACCACCTCTTAACTACTCGGGAGGTGAGAGTTTGACAAAAAGATTTGGGGTTTATCAGTACAAGAGGAGGCAATTAAATGAGTCGAGGAGGCACGTATTTTTTGGTTGTTTCATGACATTTTTTTCTTTATGGCTTTTGACGGCAACATGCTTTGTTTTGTTTTTTTTTCTCTGAATATTGGCATAACCTTAATGCATCACACTCATGCAGTGTTTCACATTAATGCTGAGAGCTGCTCAGTCCAATCACACTTGACAGCTGGAGCTCATCTGCAGCCGCAGCACGTTTTCAGAGCCGCTCGAATTCAAACTTTCTGGAAGAAAATATGCTGAGCAGATCTCGAGGCTGGTGGCATCTACAACATTTATGACAAACCGAGAGCGTAATTGCTTAATGAAACGTATAAATACATCCAACAGGTGGCTACAACACAATGGTTTATGTCGGGAAAAACTCAGAGGACATTATGAAACCCCCCCCGCATAAAATTAGGCCACGAGAGGAGTTTGAGGATGTTGACATGTAGAGACATGTTTCCTCGGGATAGGATGCATATTGATTCAGCATTCAGGCAGTTCACAGGTACTTATGTAGCTGCCACTTGAGCTGTTGCAGGGTTAGGACTTCACTGCTTTTACTCTGATATATTCATTCATTTACTCTTTTTGCGTCTCTACTTAAATAAGAAATAAAAACAGGCAGTTGACAGTCCCAGATCATTGCCCGAATTATCCTAATGTATTAATTACAATATATACTAATGGACCAGGTATGTTGGGGAAAACTGGTTCAGTGCAGCACATCTGTTAAACAGCTTGCTTAAATAAAAGGCATGATTATTGTAGCTTAGATGTTGATTCAACTTAAAACAATGAGTCAAACATTTGATTGACACAATTATTTACTTACTTTAAAGCATAAATGTTGGTTTCCACTGGTTATAGCTCCATAAAGCCTTCGGTTCTGGGACACTAGCTGGGCATAATAAGCAGTCTGAATATACAGCATCTGGATTGTTCCTCAAAAATTGTGTTTGTCACTATTTTATCACATATTTAGACATATTGATTGATAAATAAAGCAATTCTCCCATCCCAAGACTTGACACAGGAGTAGTAGCAGTGCCTTTCTTATGTATATAATGGAAATGTCATTTATTATTTTGTAATCTTGTCTTCTCCACCTCCTCCAGGTCAGTCATGGAAGGCCCTGAGCGCCACAGACAAGCGACCATTTGTGGAAGAAGCAGAGCGACTCCGTGTCCAACACCTCCAGGATCACCCCAACTACAAGTACAGGCCTCGCCGCAAGAAGACCACCAAGAAGCTCAAGCGGGTTGAACCGGGGCTCCTGCTGCACAGCTTAGCCCAGGGTGGGGCAGCAGGCCTTGGCTTAGGACCTGCCATCAGCCCCTTGGGTGTAGAAAGTGTCTCTGGAGGTTCTCCCTACGGACATCCAGGAGCCCACCCTCCACACCACCATCATCCCCACCACCTGCTGCCATCTCTGGGGCACTTCAGGGACCTCCAGGCCCCGGGACACCCAGAGCTTGAGAGCTATGGCTTGCCAACTCCAGAGATGTCCCCTCTGGATGTTCTGGAAGACGGAGCTGGGGAATCGGTGTTTTTCCCTCAGCATATGCAAGAGGAAGCAGGGATGGGAGGTTGGAACGGGTACCACCACCACCTTCACCATCACAACCAGCACTACAGCCACCACTACAACAACCACAGTCACCACAACTCTATACATGGTCAGGGTTCTGGGATGAGTGTTAGTGCCAGTTTAAACAGTGGTATGAATTCTAGTCTGAGTCCTGGTAGAAGCTCCAGACTTGATCCTCGAATGAGCTCCGCCGAATCAAACATGACCTCCAGCATGAGCTCTGTCACGGCGGTCGGTTCCAAGTTAAATCCTACTCTCGCCTCCAGTCACCAAGTCACCTTGAGGAGCCCCGTCAAGTGCCCACCGTCTATCCCCGACTCCTCCTCCCCTGTATCCTACCCCCAGCCCCCCATCAGCCACCCTGAGCCAATAAAATGCCACCAACCCCCCCTGAGCGCTGCTCCTGTCACCTACTTCAACCAAATCTACGGCAGCGGCAGCCCCAACGCCACCCATTTCACCCCTTCTCATCTGGGGCAGCTTTCCCCTCCTCCTGAAACTTCCCCTTCTTCTTGCTCAAACGCCTCCATCCCCCCTCCTTCAACCTTCCTTCCCTCCGTGCACTTAGACCACTTAAATCCAGAATCCTCTGGCCATTTGGGATCCTCGTCTGCTGAATTTTGGTCTGAAGTGGACAGGCATGAATTTGACCAGTATGTAAACATTGGACGGAATCGAGAGGAGGCCTATGGACTCATCGGGGGATGTGGGGGTGGATCAAAAGTCCTGGGCGGGCGTAGCAGCACTAGCGTAGGTAGTAGCAATAACAGCATCGTTAACGGCGTCCTCCACAGGGACGTCAGTGGTATCATGAGCGGGGTCGGTGGGTGCGATGATGGGAGCAGCCCTCTGATATCTGCTCTTTCTGACGCCAGCAGTGCCGTCTATTACAGCGCCTGCATCACTGGATAAACTCTCCATGGTGTCATTTCTTATATGTGCCTCCTGTTATTGTGTTGACTCATTACAACCGTCTGACGTGACAGGAAGAAAGTATGGTGGGAAACTGAGTTTCGGCTCATACTTTTAGTCATTGTCATGTCTTGCTTATCTCTCACTGATTAACAGTCGAAATTTAACAGTTTCTCTAAATGCTAAAAAAATAAAAAATGCAGATGAGTCATTTCATCAGACACATACTGGAGCCAAATGCAGTCTTGATCACAAACTCGAGCAGCTTTCTTTTGCAGGCTGTTGTGGCGGGGGAGTTAAATTTATTAACCTGCAAACACACATAACCCCTGATCCACATGATTGTTTGTAGGATTTATGGGTTTTATCAGTTAGATTGCCAGTTCTTGCCCCCTTTGTAGGCAGAGGTTTTAGCAGCAGGGTTTTCTTTTTGCTGAGGAGTTTCGCCTTTAGCACAAAAACAAAACAGAAAACACTCAACATTTCAGCTGCATCACTCTGAAGTTGATGCTCTTTATCATGATGTATGATCCAAATGAGCACTAAAACAATATGACAGTGCGTCACTCTGCTTTAATTTGGGATGTGTTTAATTACTACAATGTTTTCTACAGTTTTTAATTATTAGGAAGGATGCTAGATCTTGGAGCTAGCGTGACAAATTTTTGTCTTTATCAATATGCATTTATGGCATAAAATTGCATCATCTGTGTGGTTCAGGGACACCAGAAAATGCTAATCTGTGTTGAAGTACCTTTGAGCAAGACACTAACTCTTGCTCTGTTTCTCTGCTCCCCTGGTCACACACAGCATACTGCAGGAGGACTTATATGAGCACAAAGAACCTGTAATCGCTGTATATCAGAAACGTCTGTGACAAATTGTCATCTCATATCATTTTTGACATTTCATCTCAGGACCAGACACGCGTTCGTCTCCACAGAACTTTGGAAAATTTGAAACAAGTTCACCTCGTTCGCCGAATGCGAACGACAAACTCGTGGGATTCGCAGAAAGAGAAAAAAAAAAAAAAAAGACTCAATGGGAGAGACTTGTTCCAACCTCCGCATATATCCCAGCAGTGTTGTCGGGAAAAGCCTTGGCCACTAACCCAGAACACACCACCGATGTCTCCCACAAACTATCAGGATGTTTTACAAGCCGAGTCGGGTTTCTTTCTGACCGTGATGCATGCCATTCCCTCCGCGGCTCAGTCCATGACAGGGCCTCGTGTCAAACCCCGTGCCAAAATCTGCGAGTTTTAAGTCGCTGGTGCTTCTTGCCAAACGCTGATATGCTGATGATTCAACGATCATTCCTATCAAACCAGCAGCACTCTCTGGTAAAACAAGCATATCACTCATTTTTTGGTTTATTTTGTTGTTTTTTTAATTAAAAATTTATTTTAAACTTACAGGTCTTATGAAGAATTATTGCAAAGAAGATCAGGAAAATACGCTAATTTAAACTTCAAAAGTCTTTATTTGCAAGTTCTTATGAAGCAACCAGTTTTCAATCACTCTAACTGTTCACGTGTTGGTGTTGGGATTTTATTTGAACCCTTGGTTTGATGTAGCTGTTTACTGTATATAGAGATGTTATGCTTCTTGACATTATGTGAAGGAGAAACTGAGACTATGAAATGTTCTCTTTGCACTGGGTTTAATGTCTGAGCTGTATAGATGGAACACTACTTATGGAAACTTAAATGTCCACATTCTGAAATATGTTTTTTTGTACAGAAAAAAAAAAAAGTTTATGTTGTCTTATAGAGTCTTATTTTTCTTCAAGCAAAACTGTTTAGGATACTTGTGCGGTAAGTATGGTGAAGGAGCGGGACGGCAATTAAGTCAAGCTTAGCAAGAATCAGATGAGCCTTTATCAAAATTAACATGCTGTAATTAATTTCTTTAATGCATAAACACCAAATCATAGAAGGAAATTTGCTTTTTTTACTTTTTCTGTTTGGATTTAATATTTGGGACAGAAAAGGTTATGGAGAGATGCTGGTAGGCAAATTTATTTATGTTTTTTTATTTTTATTTTTTAAACTTTGCACTGCTCTTGCTGCTCAGCCAGGCTATTTGCCTCCCTGATTCATCACCATACTTAAACCACAGGTGTAAAAAAATGTTCAACTATTCCCACTGGTCTATTTCAATGTTCATTCAAAATGTTGTATATTAAGGAATTTGCCTTTTTATAGTTCTAAAGATCTCTCGTAGATCTCTATGGGTCTTACGTTTCGTTCTACAAATGACTCGTCCTCCCACGCCTGTGTCGGAAATTAAAACGAAAATTTGTGGTTTTGTTTGTGCTGAGAAGTCAACAAGTTGTAGCCACTGTAGAGGTCTCTCTGTATGTGTTTATGCAGCATCTATCCTGTAATAGTTTTGTATACAGTGGAGGCAGAAACCAGAAGTCTCTCTTCAAAAGATTTATCCTACATCTGCTATTCATTAGTCCTAAAGACAATGCTTTTTTTTCCCCTCCTTTTTTTTTTTAAATACATGAAACAGTAGAACAAAATGGAGTATCCTGTACAGTGAAACCAGTTACATTTGCCACACAGTTCTGAAAACGAAGCAATAGTATGTTTTACGAAACCTCTAGAGGATGGAGTCACAGAGAAGCAGCAGTTCATGCAAAGTATTAAAAAAATACTTCTACATCTGCATTCGGCATTCTTTTCTGTTGACACCAGAGTCTTGTTTCCATTTTAATTTACTGTGACGCACAAAGACATCAGAGAGACAGGCGTTTTTTTGGAGTCGTGCAATAACTCTGGGGCTTTTGGTAATAATTATCTGAAGAAAAAAAGAAAAGGAAAAAAAACAAAAAAACAAGAAAGAAACACCCAAGATTTTGGGATTAAAACAAAGGACATTTTTCTCAGCAGTCATATAACGACAAATTAAAGCCAAGATTTTCCCAGAAGTGTCACTGTGATGCTTCTAAATGTGTCTGACAGGGATCGTTTTTACATTTTCTAAGTGCAGAAAATGGTTTTGTTTGTGTTTGTATATTTGAAAAATGGAGCTGTAAATGGATCTGTTCAATTTTATACAAAAATGTACAAAATAAACACTTCTAAAGTTGCACGCTGGCTTCTGAGTCTTCTCCTTTTTGCTATTGCTGCTTTGAGTTAATCGTTTATACTGTAAGAAACTATGATGTGAATTGACAAAAACAATAACCTAACCTTTTATGAAATGTTTTTGGCTTCACGGTCAGTCTTGCATGTTCTCTTTTGAGAGCCAACAGATAATGACCATGTGTCATTCTTACATCACACAATGGACTTTGAGCCAAATTCATTGTATTTGTGTAACAGAGTTTGAATGTGATGAACTTCAGTTTATTTTTAAACAGATCTTTTTTCTTTATTGTTTGAAAAGGATCAATTTGGAAAGTCAAACAGTAGCAGGATGGTATGATTCAGGACTTGACCCCGGGTCATCAGACTCGGAGGCAGACATATCCACCCAGTCATCACCACTTCATTTTCCACTGCATCATTTTAATGTCATATTGCTTCCCATTTGTAGTCATGCATCTTTCCTGTAGCCCTTTGATGGTAAAAGACATTGCACATAAAACGGTGTACAAGGCATCTACTAAATGCGTACTGTATCGTTTGGATAAATGTGATGCCACAAGTTTCAGGTTGGGATATCTCAATACTGTGTGTTGCTCCCAGCTATACTGGTATAATTTGCTAAAGCTGTTCCCAGTGGGCACAGTTGGTAGCACTGTTGCCTCGCAGCAAGAAGGTTGCCGGTTCGCGTCCCGGTGGGGCCACCGGAATCTTTCTGCGTGGACTTTGCATGTTCTCCCTGTGCCGCGTGGGTTCTCTCCGGGTTCTCCGGCTTCCTTCCACAAAAACATGTTGAGGTTAATTGGTGATTCTAAATTGTCTGTAGGTGTGAATGTGAGTGTGCTTGGTTGTCTGTCTCTAAGTGTAGCCCTGTGATAGACTGGTGACCTGTCCAGGGTGTCTCCTGCCTTCACCCTGAGTCAGCTGGGATAGGCCCCATCCCCCCCGCGACCCTAGTGAGGATTAAGCGGTGTATAGATAATGGATGGATGGTCCCAGTGGCTAAATGGGGCTGATTTTTAGTCCAGACATGCTCAATTCTACACCCACCTGACAGATCTAGAAGCTACCATATATACTGTCTTCTACAGGGCCATTGGGGCTCAGTATCAACACCAGCGGCTGTGTTCTGGCGCCAGTCAGCCAGATGCTGCTGGATACCATTGCAAACTTTCTGAATTCAGTAATTCGGACTGATTGACCTATAATTTAAGGGTAAAATCGTTAACAAAAACACCCCGTGTCTGATAACTGTTAAAGTAATGCATTTTTATGACACCAACGTTCATTTTCCAGAGATTCTTGCATCCAGTACGGAGACACCTACCAGCAACCATTTTCATTTTAACAGTTGGTGCATTTAAGCCTTACAGTCGTGACGTTTTAATGCATTTCGTCATTTTCCCAACTTCATGAGGGTGAAGGTCCACGGAGGGCCCTTGGTGGACTAGGGCTGGTCTGAATAGCAATTTCTGTTCTCCGGATATTTGTCCCCAATTAATGACGAATATCCCGAATATTTGGAGGTGCCGTGCAGTGGTGGTGGGTGGGGATTCGTTCTGATGGGAGAGGCGAGTGCTGAGCATTTTCACTGGGGATAATTGGAGATCCAAATTGATATCCCGATTCCAGCATAGCGAACGAATAGTCGGCTATTCGGCTATTTGGGTCCAGCCCTACGGTGGACATGTGTCTGATTGCATGCAATGCAAATGAGGCAAGTGTGCATGTGCCAAGAAAACAAAATGAATGCCTGTTCTGAGGAGAGGCCCAGCGTGAATTTTTGCCATTATCCTCACCTTTATAATTCATCGTTTAAAAAAAAGCTGTAACTGAAGTTGTCAGTGTGAGAGTTTGGAGGTGTTTTGATGTTAACCTGCTTTCCGTCGATGGTGCCCAAACACGGTTCTTAATTCTCCAGAAATCCCGTGCTACATCTGTCTGAAGTGCTTGGAACAGGAAGGACATTGTCACGCCTCATTAATCAATAAATAATCCTTGAGACTGTGCTACAATGCAATCGCTGCGAAATCTTGTTAAAAAACGTAAAGTCACAGCCTTTCAGAAACACCCATGGAGACCCTGTTGGTGTGTCTTTGTTCAATGTGACGGGCGATGCATGGACATGGAAACCATAACCCTTCTCACATGCAACGTCAGTCCTATGTCCCATTTGACCTTGTTTACTACCCACTACGCCCATCTTATCCTTCCATGCTCGTCGCACTTTTCCGTTGCTATGTTTACCAAGCTATGTGGTAAGATGACACCCCCGTCTTTCGTAATCCCATCTACAAACCTTAATTGTTTCTCCAACAATGAGAACAGTCACAGAAGCCAGACACATCGACACCGCTGCACAAATCTGAGCATGGGGATGGTGACTTAGGAGCCAGGTTGGAGAGACAGGCTGTGATGTCGATCGTATTTATGGAAAATTTAAAGAAAATACAGAAAAAGAAGCAGTCCAAAGACAGTACATGCAGTTGTATTTTCCCAATGTCCACTGTAAGAGCCATGGCTCTCAGTTTAAATGTCTCCATGGAAATGAGGAAGGGGAGAAAATCAAAGTGTTGGTGAAAGGAAGGACAAGAGTAGAGGGAGACTGAAAGACAATCACCTCAGTGTTTGTGTGGCGCCGTAATCCTCTGCGATCTGCTCTGATTCGGTCCTCTCCAGGTTCTGATCCGACACTAGAAGAGTTTCGGGACAGCCTCTCCCCCCCGAACAAACCGCAAACGGACTCAAAAGAAAACATTTGGAACAAGGAAAAACTGTTCTCTTGTTCTCTCTCCTTGGACAGCCTGTTTTCTTCTTCTTTTTTTTCGTTGCAGTCTTGTTTCATTCCCTCTCACTCACTATAATTTTATGTTGTTTTTCTTTTGCTTTTTCTTCTTTTTCCCACGAGTTTGACTCCTACATCGTGTTTCATTCTATCGCCATCCCTTGCCACCTTTCTATTGGCCAGGTTCTCTTTTCCTTCCTTTGTGTTCTGTCTTCTCACCTTTGCTTTCCTTTTCCTCGTTCCTCTTTTTGTTTCCTGCCACTTTCAGTCATTTACATTCATTTATATTCTTCATGCATCTTCCTCAGTTCATCTTTCTCACCTACTTGTTGCCCCGTTTTTATTACCCTTGTCTTCTTGCGTTTTTTAAAATTTCAACCCACGTAATTCTTTTCGTCTAATAATTCTTATATTAATTACAATCCCCCTCTCTTTTTTGCCCCTTTAATCTCATTCTCTTCCTCCTTTTTTTATTCATATGAACCTCTTTCTCACCTCTGATCTGCCATTTTTTAAAAATCCTTTTTTGCTCTTGTTTTCCATTACTTTTCACATAATATTCTTTTTTTTTTTTTACATAAAGTTTCTTCTTTGGGTCCCTGTCCTCCATCTCGTTTTCACTGCACCATCTCTCATAACTAATTTACATAGCCTTCATTTATTAAACTGTTTTCTTCCTCTTTTTATACTCTTCTCTTCATCACCCACTTATCCTTTCTGGTCACTTTTCTAAAGTAATAACCTCTGAGGCTGAAAACCGCAGTTCCTTGAACGTCCACTTGAGGTCGACTCCAGAAGAAAGTCAGTCCTTATAGATGCACATGTTAAAATGATCAACTTCACAACACACTTAAACATGTTTACAGCCTGGTACAAAAAGCATTTTTGGTGTCTGTAGCTAATTTCCTTGTTCGTGACCACTGTACATGGGGTGAAATTTGACATAACCTACGCCTTTTAATAGTATTAAGGATCAAAGTAATGTATAATTAATGAGTCAGAGGTGTCACAGGATGCTCCATGCTCCAGGAGACATTTGCATGACCTGCCTCAGCTCCACTGATGCAGCACTTCTTTGCTCATTTCTGGATTAGCTGGGAGTCAAATCCTGCAGAGATGGAGCAAGCTGGAACCACCACCCTCAGATTTTTTTTGTGTTTTCACCCTCAGAAGTAAGTCCCGAAACCTAACGAATTTCCTTTTCCACAAACAAATGAGAAGTAAATCAGCTGAGGAAAGTTGACTCACTTGCTTTGTTTTCTGGTGTTGCTTTTGGTACAACATTGATATCCTGTTTCACTTATCCCATTGCTATAGCACTTGTTGTGATGTGTCATAACAAATATGGCATTTATTGCGATGTGTTGAGAATGATCATCAGGCTCTGTGGTCAGTGCTCGTTTAAAATATGGGAGCATTCAGGAGGGCAAACTAAGCTTCATATGTTTAATGGCAATATATAGGTTTTTATTCAAACCAGTCATTGTGGTCTTATGAATCAGCCCACATCACCATTTTGAGTTGTCAAAATAGCTAAATAGTGGATACTTTGCTTGTAATAGATTAGATTAGATTAGATTAGATTAGATTAGATTAGATTGGATTGGATTGGATTAGATTAGAAAGTCTTTAATGTCCCAATTTGGGCAAATTGATTTGCAACTGCAGTTGACAACGAAGTTCATACCATAAAACTGTACAGTACAATATATAGAAACACAGATATAAATAATAAATGTCATCAGGTGAGTTATCATGACCATACATGTAGCCTACGGCGCAAGGACACAAGCCTAAAGTTTAATTAGAAACCCTACAGCTGATCTGTTGTATCTGTTTGATCTGACCCTCTTAGGGAAGGTATACCTCTTTCTAGACGGCAAAATTTGAAACTCAGCATACAGAGGGTGGTGTGTGTTGGCTAAGATGACATTTGCCCTCTGAATGGCTCTTACTTGTTAAACTTGGCAAAGTTTGACAATGCTCCCCAGCTGATTTTTATTAGTGATGCTAAGGTTCCCGTACCAGCAAATCACTGCAAAAGTTAGAATTGACTCAATAAAGGATGAATAAAACATTTTTAAAAGTGAACTGTCAACACTAAAAGTTGCCACTTATCAAATTCTACTGATGTTAGAGGCCTCAGAAGTTGGTAAAATGTTGACCAAAGACTGGATCTTTAGTAGGAAACACCACTATCTGACATGACATGGACTAAACT